TAAAAAAATACAATTTTGGTTCTTCAGGAAGCTTCAAGCTATTTCAAAGAGTAGTTGTACATAATTGTACTGTCCTGACCTACTCAGAGAATTGTATGGAACTATTTATGCCAGTCGTTCCTCAATCTATTCAGAGATACAGCAAACCTGGCCATTGTCTGTTCTTATATCTGCATCAGGGCACTGCTTTCTGGGACTGATGTCACCCTTCTGAAGGTGTCTTTCTCATGTTAGCCCTTTTAATTGCATGCTTAGCAAATTTATTTTTCATTTTATTTAAGACTTGTTGGCTTTCTGTCTAAAACCAGTATGTGGTTTAGAAGTAAATGCTTTACTTTAAAACTAACATTACTTTAAAAGTAATTGAGATACCTGTTACTTGAAATTAGTAGTTTGGATCTTTTATGCTGCTTATTACTTTGAGAAATTCAGTGATGCGACTGCTTTACGGTTTGGAGTATGTGAGCAGTGTGAAATGCTTAAGAGCCACGAATTATAAACTTAGGCACTGGTGGTATTTATGAAGTATAAGTAAGGCAATTCATTAAGCAGATGTTGCTTATCTGAGTTATTTAAGTAACCTGTAATAGTTAGGTTGGAAAAGCATTCAAGCTGAGCTTTCATATTAGAAGTAAAGAAACCCTTCTTTGTTTCTTTTAAGAGTTCAGCCTCCTGGAAACACACACGATGTTATTTGTATAATACAGCTTCAAGAGGTAAGCTGTTGAGGCCAATACCTAATGTAAATGCACCTTATGGATGTAGTATGCAGGCGTTCTAATGCCATGAGTAGCAATTGAGATGTTGTAACTTGGAAGGTGATGTCTATATGCTTTCTCCAAATTTCTATTAAACTTTATAAATACTGCACTTTGGGACTCTGCATGTCCAGCTCTGCAGACAGTTTGCTTTAAAAAACATTTTGTATGTTGGGTTATTTTTTTTAATGAATTCTTACCTGGTTTGTGTTACAGATACCAAAACCCAAAAACATTTAGGAGAAAATTTTGTATATGTATAGTGTTCATATTTCAGTTGTTGACATCTGTGTGTAATATGAACATGAACAAATTTTATTCTAATTAAGTATTGTCCTACATTTTTATTACTAAAGACAAGTAAGGAATGTTAGTACTTGGAAGTACTTCAGTTACTTCGGTATGTTTCTGTGACCTACATGCTTCCTCCACACACATTTATGCAGAAGCTATGGAAAGTTAAATAAGGCAGTTCAAAAGAAATCAGAAAGGTCAGGTGGAAGAAGGGACTTGCCATACTTAGTAAGCAAAGAATGCTAGTTCATCAAAAATCCTGTTACTCACTTAGGAACATGAAAATGCCACCACCGTGTTGAGATGTTCTTGTGGTCCCCTTAGCCAAATGCATTTTTTAAAAATGTTTCTTGTTTTATTTCCTACCCTTTCCCCTCCTTCCTGTGCCCTTTATGAAATTGTTCACAACCTCTGCTTCTAAAGTAATTTTCTATTACTAATTTGTTTTTAGATCTTCATAAAATGCCCAGATACTACTTTTGATACTGCAACAGATCTCTGTGTTTCTTCCATGCAATTTGAAAGGGAAAAGCCCTCACCCCTGAAAAAAGAGCATTCTTTCTCCTTCTAATTAATCCAGAGCAAATCCTGATAACTAACAATTTTGATTTAAACCCCAATGTGTTTGTTTCCTTCTTGCTCTCAGATTGAAGTTGAAAATTAATTTTGCACAGCTGTAGCATATTGATGGCTTCCAGCTGTTTAGATAGGAACAGCAGTATTCAAGAAACCATTATCAAAGAGCCTAGGTGTTCATGGCAGTAGGCGAAGCAGCCTTACTAAATGTGTCTCTGTATTTAAATATTTAGATATAGGTATCAAAACATGCAGTATAGTGAATAGTAAAGAGCAGTACAATACAGCTGAGGCATATTGCATGAGTTTTCTGATGAGATGACTATGCAATTATACGGCTCTTAAAGGACAATTAAATGTAAGTTGAGAGGAAGAATAGATAACAGTTAAAATTGTTCAGGATTTTTTTAATTAAATTAAAAAGAACTGAACTGTTACTCTGAATTTGGAGATGTTAAGTTTCAAGGAGGTTTTGAAACATCTGTGAATAAGAATCTCTGCAGAGCAACGGTTCAGTGCAAACTATTTAGGATATTTTATATTAAAAAAGCAAGGTAATAGAGTATGATCATACTAACTTACTCAGATTGACTGATTACAAGGTAAAATATGTATTGATTGCCTACTAGTAAAAGAAAGAGCTCTAACGTTTTGACAACAGAAAATCTAAAATTTTGGCTGTTTCTACTGTCTCCTGGTTACTTAATCTCTGAAAGACAGTGAAGGTAACATAAGATGCTGTTGTGGTTTAAGTCTAGTCAGTAACTCAGAACCATGTAGTCGCTCACTCACGCTCCCCACTTCCTACCCCCCTGCTCCTGGAGGGATGGGGAGGAGAATCAAAAGAATGCAACTCCCACAGGTTGAGAGAAGAACAGTCCAGTAACTAAGGTATAACACAAACCACTACTGCTGCCACCAATAATAATAATGATAAGAGGAATAACAAGGGAAAAGAATACAACCTCTCACTACCCGCCGACCGATACCCAGCCCAACCGAGCAGTGATCTAGCCCTTCCAGGTATCTGCTTCCAGTTTATAGACTGGGCATGATGTGCTGTGGTAGGGAATACCTCTTTAGTTAGTCTGGGTAAGGTGCCCTGTCTCTGCTTCCTCCCGGCTTCCCCTCCTCCATAGCAGAGCATGACACTCAGAAAGTCCTCGGTCAGACTAAACATTACTGAGCAGCAACTAAAATCATTGGTGTTATCAGCACCGTTCCCAGGCCAAAAGTCAAAAACACAGCACTGCACCAGCTACTAAGAAGGAGAAAAAATGACTGCTACTGCTGAACCCAAGACACATGCCTGTAATGTTTACCTCTTTATGCTAAATTTCAGTTCATATTCCTGTCTATTTCTGTTTTTTAATAGTGCTAAATTCTGTCCTTAAGCCCATCAGAAATTAAGAACAGGCTTTTAGTCCTGAACTCTGAGTTCCAACTAACCCTCTTGCATGCACGAGTCAGATATAGTCTTGTAAATTTTTGGGAGGGTTTTGTGGTTTGTTTTTTGAGAGGGTGTGTGTAATAGTTTCACATATTCTTAGTACCACATCTAATGTCGCATGGCCTACATTCAAAACCTCAAAGCTGGGATCTTATAATTACTTGTGGAGAAAGACTGCAAGATGGTTTTGTAGAGAACTTGTAGCAAGACCTTTGACCTGGCCAAATGTTCTCTGCTGTCCTTTTGTTGTAATATTGCTTTTCTGTGTCAGAATGGCACACCCATTGGTCTGTGCTCTGCGACAACTTTACCCCTACCAACTAGCCACTGAAGCTTTCCTCGATCACAGGTCTCTTGTCCTTCCTATTCCTGCTTCCCTACCCAATGCTTAATAATATTAAACTCAAAACGTTAGTGTAAACTGAAGAAGAAGAAGAAAAAAATCTTCATCCTGATAGGAAAAGAAAAAGATACGTTAGCAAGATGCTTTAAAAGCAAATAAAGGCATATAATAGAATGAGTGAACTTTGGTCAACTTTCAGATGTTGTTTTAACTTCATTTTTTTGTCTCTAAAGATTCTCTCTAATTTTCATGACTAGAAAGCATCTATAATTTCCACTGAAATGATATAATTACCAGTGTTTATCATCAAGCAGAATTAACTTCCTTATTTAGTGACTTAGCAGTAAGTCTAATGGAATTTTCTTTAATCAATATGAGAATTAGGAATGCCCTAAATGAAAATACGCACTTCAGAAGTGGAAGCAAAAAAGCAGCAACTTGGTAATATCAAGGCAACTTGAAAAATCTAATAATGTTCTTCTAACTTGTTTACTAGTTAATCAAGAAAATATTTTTCTTCATTTGGAAATCATATTAGGGTTTTCTGTATAATAAATATTTCCTGCTGCTAATATGGGTTTGATGAATAGTAGTTCTGATAAGGATTATGGAGTTTAATGAATACATTATAGTTCTTGATGTTTATACATTCATACAGCTACTGAAAATATTTACCTGTCTGACAGTTCAGTACAGTATTCACGCCTTAATGATTCAGATACTTGAAAATATGAAATTCAGTTTCTTCAGTTTCAAGATACCCAATCAAAATGGATATGAAATATTTGTATGCTGCTACCTTTGTTATATAATAAACTTCAAGATTTGGCTGTGAATAGTGTTAATTTTAGTGTTGATTTGCCTCAATGTTGCTTTGATTTGGGTTGGAGTTTCTTTGTTTTGTTTTTGAATGCAGATAAAACCTTCAATTTTTACCTCATGGTTTGAAGAAAGCAAAGAAAACTAGTAAAGGCATATTAATAACAAATTCTGAAAATGAAGTTCCATAAAAATTACAGTAGATAAATTTTTACTTACTCTTTCAACTGTTTTTAAGGAAGATGGCAGGCTATTTTAGGTACAGTCTAATCTCACTGAACACTACTGAGATTCAGAAAAGAAATTTGTGTTTTATGACTATGGCTACTGGTAAGAGTTTTTGTTCTGTACAGCTGTTCCTGAGGATTTTTTTTTTTTTCAAACGTACAGATTGTGTAACATCTCTGCTAGATTACATGACTTATATTTCTTGTGAGAGTGCAGCCTGACACTTGCAACGTTCAGGTTAAACCTTGTTTGCAATGTATTGATCTTGAAATCACTTAGTTACATATATGATAATACAAGTGTTGTTAGTATAAGGAGCTTATTACTTCTCAAAATTCTGTTTCAGCCCTTGTGAGTTTCCATCAGTCAATACTGACCTGGGTAACATTGCGTGCAGTAGACCTGCCATTAGATATTTCTGATATGAAAACTAATTCTAGTTGCATATCTCAATAGGAGACATGATTTTAAAATAAAAATGTGGTGTTAAGACATATGAGTCATCTTATCCATACCTGCTCTGTGCTTTTATTGAGTAAAAGAACAATTATATTAATGCCCAAACTTAACCCAAAGCAGTTTGTTCTCAGGAGTGTTTAATTCAGTTATAAGCATGGCTGAGTTCTCACAAATTGAAAAAAACTTATAGCACGTTATACAGTAGGAGAAAGTTATTATGAATTTAATTAGGTACTTACAGTAGAGAATACAGCACACAAGTGAGCTGCAGAAGTGCAAAATAAAAGCTGCGATTGATGAAGAGGGGTGATAGAGTTTTCGGTTCAGGCTGCTGTCATGCTCTGGCATTAATATGTAAATATATGTACATGCACACAATAATATCGTCCTCAGTTGAACTTTGTTGTCCCCTCAAGGTCACAATAAAATCTTTGCCTACAGTGTTTATTCATAGGAAATATAATTTGAAGGATACGGAGCTGCCTTTAAAATTACACTGTAATACTGTCAGATTCCAGAAAGACCACAGACACGCTTGGTCCTCCTTTTAGAGGGGGTGGTAAGTTTGTGCAAACAGTTGTCAGTATTCCATTGCACAATTCGGTAATTTCATCAGACAGCAAAAATGTCATGGACCAGATTCTTGGGGAGGTTGCAAGGAAAACTGTTTTTCACTTGTCCTGAGCTATGTGCTGGACTCAAGTTAAGATACTGGAAATGCTGCCATTGAGGGATTGTTCTAACAGCAATCAGACTGTACTTCACTCCTGCAGGGTTGTTGCAACTGTCCAAAACAAGTCCTTCATGGTTGTGTTGAAGCCCCTCCAACTGGTATGTCTGTAAGAATATTCCTTAACCCTAAAAGGAAACGAAAAGTGGCAGCTGCAAGTGGTGTGATTTCTTTTTCCTGAAGCCTTGAAATTGCCACGTAGCCTGCAAGTAGTTGACTTTTTTGAAAGATCAAGGGATTTTGTATGATTAAATGGTACAATAAATGGAACTACAGAAAGAGGAAGATAACCTTCTCTCATAAAGTTCAAATGGTGCCCAGCATAGGGAATAGAAAGCGTATGTTAGGTTCCGATAGGCTTATTCTAAAAACACCAAAGAGGAGGCCAAAACAAGAGTTTGGGGAACAATTTACAAGGTGTCTGAAAACTATTAAAGCCTGTTTTTCAGGCGTCAGAAACAAGAACCTTGCAGTAACACTAGAAACTGATTAATTTATAGCAGTGGCACTTGAAGAAAATAAGGTCACAGAACAAAAAAGCAATGCTTTTGGGTAACTGTGCTTACAATATAGGAGACTGGACAACTTCACTCAGTCCAGCTCTGCTCCCTTGCAAAAGGAAACTGCCTTAAAACAAGCTGTTGAGAGCTTGGAGGTGGAGGGAGGGAGCAGAATGAACCACAGACCCCCAGGTCAAATGTCATTTTCCTCATCGATGACATGCGAATGAAATGGCTGAGCTATCTGCGACATATATTGCCCAGGGCTGCTTCACTGTAGGGCAGTTGGGTATAGCTCCAAGGTGAGTCCAGAGAGCTCCCCACCAGCAGGCTTGATGGCACACTCCTGCTTTCTGCAAGTGAGTCACAGAGCAGGTGGACTAGGGGGATGCAGTTGACATGGTTAACCAAAACCCTTGTTAAAGGTTCTTAAATCCTAGTCTTCAATAAGATAAGGAAGGTCTTTGGACAGAGAAATTCATTTAAAATGGAGGGCACCAGAAATAAGGGAGTGGTGATAAATGTTAGTTTTCTGCATTTGTGTGAGTCTTCCTTCTGGAATCTGTGCAGTTGGATACACTGCTGATGTTAAATTCTCTATAAAAGGGAATGGATAGAAAAAAGAGTAACTTTGTGTCCTGGGTTCAGCAGTAGCAGTCATTTTTCTCCTTCTTAGTAGCTGGTGCAGTGCTGCGTTTTTGATTTCTGGCCTGGGAACGGTGCTGATAACACTTATGATTTTAGTTGCTGCTCAGTAATGTTTATTCTGACCAAGGACTTTCTGAGTTTCATGCTCTGCCAGGGAGGAGGGGAAGCCAGGAGGAAGCAGAGACAGGACACCTAGCCAAAGAGGTATTCCCTACCACAGCACGTCATGGCCAGTATATAAACTGGGGGCAGTTACCTGGGAAGGGCTAGATCACTGCTGGGGTCGGGCTGGGTATTGGTCAGCGGGTGGTGAGCAGTTGTATTCTCTTCCCTTGTTATTTCCCTTATCATTATTATCATTGGTGGTAGCAGTAGTGGTTTGTGTTATACCTTAGTTACTGGACTGCTCTTATCTCAACCCGTGGGAGTTACATTCTTTCGATTCTCCTCCCCATCCCTCCGGGAGCAGGGGGTAGGAATGGGGGGAGTAAGGGAGTGGCTGCGTGGTTCTGGGTTGCTGGCTGGGCTTAAACCATGACATTTTAGTAAAGTAAGATTATTCAGGATCATAGAAACAAGTCTGACATAGAGTTGAAGAGAGATTTCATGCTAGAAAGGCAAAAAGGACAAATGAATTTCAGTGTATTTAAAAACTCCAGTAATGAAGCAAAGTATTTGCCCTACTATGAAGGACAAGTAACTGATCTGTGATTCTGAATATATGCATCAAAAAAACAGGTAGTTGTATTATTTTTCAGGGAAACTAACCTCTAACGTGATAAATAACATACGGTTCTGGTCACTGTAGTTGTGATTAGTCTCCATTTCCAAAGATATGGATACCATAATACACATGAAACTAAACCAGAATTGTGATAGTGGCACACTAAAAAGGTTTTTATAGTTCATAATATATCAGATTATCGTATTTACCAAATGACATAAAGGGCAAATATCAACAACATTCCATCAAGACTGTACCCAGCATAATCTAATTTAAAGTAAGTATGATACAAAAACCAGTGCAGAATGGGAAAGAACAATCAAAGGAAAAATTACAATCTAGGAGGCAAGTGTAATGTAAGAAGAAAGAAAAATCCTGCAATATAGTTGCTTTACATGGTTGCTGCTGCCACAGAATTACTTCTCATCTAAGAAGAACCAAAAGAACAGATTAATTCATTGTCAAATCAAATCTTCCCTCGAGACTACACATAACATTAAAAATGGGAACAGTGGATTTTTAGCGAGTTCAACTGAACCAGAGTGCTGCAGACTCCAGAGAGGCCATCTAACTGCTGTAAATTCTCTTTTTCAAGAGCACTGTGAGGCATACCATTCTCAGCATTCCCTTTTCTGTCGCCTCTTACATGAGAAGACTTCTTTTAAAATATATTCTTTGTTTGGTCTTCAACTGCAGGAATGAAAGTTTTTGTTTCAGATGAAGCATATGCACTCTAAATATGCGTTGCATGTTGGATTCCGTTCCAACATGTTTATGGGTTTCTTTTTTATCCTAATTTAAACCTTTAAGACCAAGCTTTCCCAATAAGCTCAAGAGGGTGCATGTAGCAAAGGAGAGAACGTCCCAGCAATTCTGTTAATTTATATTTACTCTCTAGAAATGATTGACAGGTGTTAAAGTTTATTTTGGACAATGGGCTACTTCATTTTGTAGGGAGATTCATCTTTAGTCATGCCTTTGATATGCATGTAAGGTGAGTCACTATCACCTGTTCTTTATTCACAGTGTAGAGGTAGAGGAGATGATCTATTACCTCCTGTGTAGCATTAGTTTCTTCTCAGCTTCTGGCAGATCTTCGATATTTTAACCAAGAAATAAAACACTTGCATCTAACCAGAAAAGAATTGCTTTCAAAAATTGGTGGGCTTTTCCTGGTAATTTTACTTATTAAACTTATGTAGCAAAAGCTTTTAATGTTTTAAGTGGGTTGTGAACATAATTTACCACTTTGGGTTTAATTAATTGTTGATATCCAAATCTTGTCCAATATAATTTGCTTTGAAAGAAGCACTGCAGCAAATGGAGTACATGAAGATATTATTCTGGGACTTGAGAGCCATGTTCTATTAAAAAAGAAAAAAGAATGCTTGAAGCAAGACCCCTCCAATTTCCTGTCCTCTTTGATCTACATGCTCTTACATCTTAAATGGTGTTTTGGCTCTAAGTGAGCATTCAGAGGTTAAAAAATGGCAAACTACACAGCTAATCTGTATATCACTGCTCTATCCTCTGTTCCATCTTTCTCCTCCAACCACAGATGCATGGATTCTTCAGTGAATGTGTAGTATATGTGTGTGTGGATAATTGCAGTTAATTTCCTCATCACTGGCATTTTTTCCACAGAACTTGTTTCGATGTAGATGTGTGGTATATATTTAATAGGAAACTAGTCACAGTGGTTTTCTACCTTACTGTTCCACGTGTTGCTTTATGTCTCACAGTATAATGTTCAATGCTATTCTGAAATAAAAATTATTTCTAAATAGATGTTTGTGAGACTTCGCGATTGTTGTCTCTTTCACAGTGCTTCTTTGAGGTGGGATTGGAAAGGGAAAGTTTTACATAAATTTTGGGTGATTTTTTGCATTCTTAAATACTTAAACCTGCTTATCTTGTGGCTTAAGAACAGAAATCCTGTGAAATACCAAGAACAACTCCCACTGGCTATAACTGCAGCTGATTATTTAGTGTCTGTTTCCTTTAAGAAGCAAATTAAGTTGGATATCTGAAAAATGGAGAAAGTAGCTTAATTAATAAGGTCTAAGAGATTTGAGTGGCTTGCTTGGCTTTTGGCATGTGGTTATATCGGCTATGAGAGGGAACAGTAATACAGTTTTGGTGGGAATGGACACATAAATAATGGTTTAATTTTTCAGGGAAGAAATGGAGTTTAAGAGCCTCAACTGGTACCTTTACACTTTCAGTTTCATGCTGTCACCCTATATGCCGTTCATCAGCAGGTTGCAAACCCTTGGTTTCCCTTAAGAAATCATAGCACTTGGGCTATTGCTACTAGTTACATTGTCCACCATAGAACAGGAGGAGGCATGTTTTGCTAGCCAGCTGTAGAGTGTTCGCCAAAGGAGAAGAAAGGTAACACTGAGGAGTTACACATTCCAGTAGAAGCTTTGAAGAAGGCTTTCTAGAAGGCATAAATGATTCTACTTCTTTTTCTGAAGCTCTGAGCATGAAAATTTCTCCTTTCTATCTTGCTTTCATCTTCCCTACCCCTGCTCCACCTTTGGGTGCTTGTCTTAGTCTTGTTCATGATATCAGCTGCATTATTCAGAGCTCTGGTATCAATCACACTTTGTTCAATCTGTGCCAGTATTTTCATGGAAGTTTACCCAGTTCCCTTCTCCCCTTTTTCTGATTACCATTCTTTATTTCCTTCCTTGGACTTCACTCTATTTTCTTTTTTTTTTTTTTTTTCTTTTTTAACTTTTTTCTTTTTTAATTTTTTCCCCTTTTTAATTTGGTCCATCTCATCATGTACCACCTCACCTGTGGCTCTCAGAACTGGAAAAGGTCTACATGAATCTGCCTTCTTCCCGCTGCCCTTGAGCACCAGTGATAGTGACTGCATATCCCTTTACTTGCATTCCTAGAGTTTCCCAGCTGTTGTGCTGCTTTTGCCTTTCCTTCTGTTCTCAGAATTTTCCCACCTTCTCAGTGTCGCCATTCTCACTCCCCAACCAACTGCTTGTTAGTCCTTTATTTACCATTTTTCTTACTGACTTTTAGTCAATTGCTTCTTCTGTCTTCAATCCTCTTTGCCCAAATGATTTGGCTTTCCACTGACTCTTCCTCCAGTTCCCACTGGCCTTGCCAAGTAGGCTCAAATCCTTCCTTGCCAGCTTTCTGCAGCTTCCCGCTCACCAGAGCTGTTACAATATACTTTTTTCCTTTTCCTCACTTCATTCATGCCCTTTGCATTCTAGTCACATTTTCCTTTCTATGTTGCCTAGGTGTCAGCACAGAGTAATTGAAAGTATAGGAGAAACTTTGACTTCTGGATTGTATTTTCAGTGCTTACCTAACCAAAGGGCTAAAACTGAGGGGAAAATCTGTTTTCAGAAAGACTAACTTTACCCTTGAAGTTGTGTTTGTTAAAGATGTATCATAAAACTTTTTCTTGGTGAAGTTCTAAAACTGCTTCTAGTGTCACTGTGGCAGTACTCTTCCAGATAATACCAATGCACAAAAGATTCTCAGTTGCTGGGGCTGTGTTTTTGTACTGTATAAAACTGTTTGGGTGCTGTAACCTTCCCTAGAGTAGCTTTTGCTTTTAGAAATCTTAGCTGATAAAGTTCAAAAAACCTACCGAGACTTGCTATGTGGTGTTGTGGATCTCAGCCTTTTTTATGGCATTAGTATGTACAAATTCAGTATTCCCATAGTGCTTTGAAGATGTATTTTAGGCCAACTCTGAGGGACAAAACCAGTAAAAGACAAACTCCTACCCTATAAATTGCACCTTTTTAAACATCTCAGGTTCCTTCTACTAAATGTAGAGGTGCCACTATGCTCAAAGACGAGGTTTCTGTGTGTGCCTGCACATGCATTTTGCTCAGGTTTTTTTTCCTGTATCCAAGTTTCTTGAAATTATTGGAGCTAGTTTATGACAGATGAGCTTCTCTTGAGTACTTGCCTCAAATTAGATTATATGTCAAAATCCTTAACAAAGTTGGCTGGTGTTACTTTTACAAGTAAATGAAATACAGTATTCTAATAGCAACTCAAGCATTGAGCAATCTTTAAATTTCATTCCATCCTGCATAATTTTAGGCAGTTGTCTTTGAATAGCAACAAATGCCTTCCCTGCTGGTCTGTTAGAAGAGGGAGCTATCCCTCAACCGTGATGACAAGATAATTAAAGCCTCTCTTCTGCCTCTTGACCTCAGCTGTCCCTTTGTTCTTGCACCCATAGTGGTGAGAGAGTGTAATTCAGCCAAAGCCAAACCAGTAAAGTCTGGTTTAAGACTGGGATTTTTAGTGTCTCCTAACATAAGAATTACTCAGCAAAACTGTTGCCTCTTTTTCTGCAACTCAGTCATCTGATAGTTAAGGCTGTCTGCACTGAGTCAGACTAAGGATCTAGCTAGTGAATATCCTTCACTGGTTCTCTGTGTATTTTTTGCGGTTGCCCCTGAATGAAGAGTGGTAACAGGACCTGGTCTGTTTCTGCATTCAGGTTCATACTTTCTACCTCCAGGCTCCAGAGATTCCTGTGTGGTGGAGGCTGTCCTGCGTGGTACATTCTGATGTGGGCTTTCCTCTGTTATGTCTGAGGGCTCCAATATGACCAACAGCTCTTTACCCACATACCAAAACAATATTTTTCAATACTATTCTGAGCTACCAGTCTTTCACCGGAAAGAACTTGAAAGCTTCTCAGAACAACTGGATCCCCATGTCATAGAGAGAGTGTAGAGAAACCTTGTTGAGAACCTGCTGCACAATTCCCATCCCTGCATGCAGACCTGAAGGTCCCCTTACCATGCCATGTTCTGGCAGGTAGCACCACAGCTAGAGAACAGCAAACTACCCAAATTCAGCAGTATGTAGCTCTAGTAACTTCCTGAACCAAAATATCTGTGTACATTAAAAATCAAGCTAAAATGATTTATGTATGCCTGCTCTATTCAATGTCTTCTTGATTATCTAGTATGCTATATGCCACTCTACAAAGTTTCATCATCTGTGTGTAAATGTTGCCTCTATTTTGATCTTCTGGTATTTTTTCTCTGCATTTCACTCTGCTTTTTCTAAATTGTTGGGTTTTGCTTGTAAGGATGATTTTATAGCAGCAAACCAACAATAATAACAGCTATTTTGTATAGTAGTAAACTACCTGAAATGCCACTTTGTTTATAACAGATAACAACCCATCTTTTTACCTGAACTGTCATGCACTTCATAGTTGTTTTGTTTAGTGTTTTAAAATATGCAGTTATTTTTATATCTGTTTTGAGTTAGAACTCTGTAAAGGTGAAGCGGCTATTATGAAATGCACTGAAAGCATTCTCAAGAAATTAAGCACCGAGTATGTGGATGCTTGGAAAGATTTTCATTTTCTATGTTAACGTGGGTGTATGAAAGTTGACTTCCATGTTCAACCTACCATTTTAGAAAGATCATTAATGTAGTTTTGCTTTTTACCAACAGCCCATAGCAGTACTTGAAAGGCATTTGATGTGGTTGTTTCTATGTACCTTTCTTGGAATTACACTTGCTTTTATGCAGGTTTCACTATATATAAAACCAGTTTAAGTTTTCAGTGCACTGATTTTTAGTTTTATCCCCTTAAACACCAAGATGCACAGCTATGTGTGTATGTAATTTTTTTTTTATAATTATGCCTCTTTAAATTCCTGATTTCAGTAAATAAAAACATCTTCCTGTGACACAGGAAAAAAAAAAAACACCACAAAACAAACCAAGACAAAACAGTAACATGTGCCATTACATAGAAGATACTTTGGTGAAACTTTATCTTTTACCTTTGATGCATAGGATCTGTTCCTGTTCTGGATTTATCTGCCTCTTTCTTAGGACTGTAAAAAAATATATATTATGTTTTTCTGGTTTCAGTGAATCTGGGAGAAACAAAACCAAGCTTGCCTTGATGGTAATAGCACAGGATTTCCTAGCATGGCATATGAGCTGGAATTGGATGTGACAACTGGAGTAGCAAACAGTCTTGAGGAAATCAATTATTTGATTTTTCCTATTTATTAGTTTCATGCTGGTTTAAATTAGGTACACCTATAAAACTGAAACTATACATTTTAGTGTACTTCCTGAGACAAAGTATAGAGCATTTTTAACTTAGTTGCTAGTCAACTTAATCTGTTCTGCTTGGAAATTTTGCTAATTTATTTTTTTAACACTGCTTATTTCTTCCTTTTTGTTTGCTCTTCTTCAACATGTAGAAATCAATACTCCTTCCCCTGTTTTTCAGTGTTTAATTTTACTTTACAGTACTAAAAATATGGTTCTCTGAGATACTTCCTGTCTAACAGAAACTGCTATGGCACAGATCACTTAGGGAAGAAGTCAGGCTTCTGTTTGGGCTTTTTTTTTTTTCCCTTGGAACAGCTTCAGCTTGTGAAAGTTGTCATAGTTGCAGTTTTACCCTGCAAGTGGCACTTTGATTTAAATATTGTAAGTCTGGACAACAGCAGGAAGCAGTGGCTAAAAATAGCTGTAAATATTTCCTTATCTTCTAAAGTATTAATTGACAAAAATCTACACTGCCCTCATCTGTTCTTTCCCTTTCAATTCTTAAACATCTGCTTTTCCTCATAACAGCAGTTCCAGACTGAGTTTTAATCTTTAAACCAACATCTGACTGATAGTTCAAAATATGTATTAAATATATGCAGCACCTGGGTAACACTTTACCTTGTAAAAGCAAGGTTTTTTTTTCTTTCGGGGGGCTGCTTATTGCTTTGCAAAAACTTCAGTATTTATGCTCGAATTTTATGCTGC